AGATACTAATGTGTGCTGGACTAGACCTTTGGGTTGGATTTGTGCAGATGTCCTGGTTGTGAAATCCTGTGTACTCCATTATCCATTATATATTAGCCATCTCCCAAGCCATCCAGTTCTCCAGTGAATTCTCTTTTTATGGCTGTAACAAGTAAATTTTCTGGCTTTCACAACTCATGAGGAAAGACAGTGTTCCCTAATTTATTTATACTTATATTTTTGTAATTTGCACAAATGAAATGATCTATAGGAAGGGATTCTCAGTAGTATAAATACATGTTATCATGAACACATTTGGAACAGCATTAAAGAAACTTCAAAACTAAAAAGCATTTTGATTGCAGCAGGCCATTTAATATGCATACCCCTCACTGAAATTAAGCTACATTAGCTAATCAGTGAAGAAATAAGAGAAGCAATATCTTGGTGTGAATTAACAATGCTGGCTCTGAAAGACAGTTAATTGAGATCTGAAACACAGGGAATTACAAACAAGAGACCAAAATATTCAGAATGAGCACGTATTCTGAAGTTCGCCAGCATTTCCACCTCACTAAATATTTCTTGTCTTTTAGGTAGAAAGGCGGGACCGAAAAATCAAACGCTAAGGGGTGACCATTCATCTAACAGAGGCTGCAGAGGTTTACAGAAGAAGAAAGTGAGGGCAAAAGGAGAGGCAATTTTTTTTCACCCTGTCCTTTTGAAAGCTGTGTTATCATACGGTTACTGCTGCCAGCACTCGGTGACACAAGAGCGGCAGTCTAGGCACCGCACACGAAGAGACAGGCTTCCCTGAGATGCCATTCAGGAGCCAACAGACGGACAGAGACAGACCACTGATTGCAAGGACAGAACGAGCAGGCAGGAGGGACTGCAGAGCACCTCGCTGGGCTTTGAGAACAGCACTTAATCAAGGATCCTAAAACCCTCCACAACGAGATAATCGGATGGCTCGCCTCCACTTCACAGACGGTGAGACAATCTCGGCGAAAATACTCCCTGAATAAACACACGTTTTAGACAGAGAGACGATGATTCCTGTACTGCTTTTGGGGACCCGTGTCAGGGAAGCCTGCGGTGCTCACAAAGGTGCCTCACCGTCCAGATAGAATGTTCAGAAACCAAAAGCCCTTCAGCACAAACACGCAGCTGTGCACACGTACGTCTCTGACACATACTGCCCGGCTCGTGACAGGGCAGAGGACTGGCCTGAGCCTGCCCATCCTCAGCCCCTCGCTTTCATTAGTGAAGAAGGTACCTCTGCAACACACATCCCTCTGCTACAAGCTTATAGTTCAAGACACAGTACTAGCTAACTTCAATTTTAACCGCTGTAACACTACAAGCATTATATTCCTATGGACCAACCTAATGTTCACTTTGTATGTTCTTATAATCTTGTATTGACTACACATTGCACTTCTTCATTACTTCTTATATGACGAACTCTCAATTAGCTGGGGCAATGGGGGAGGCTGGATACAGAACAACCCGGATAAAGCAAGAACCTGGGTAACACAAAACAGATGTAAATTAGGTTGTAAGAACAGAATAAGTACATTTAACTGTTAAAAAGTTGATAAGAAGAATGAGGTAGTAAACATAATGAAAATGAGGTGGCAGGGGGAAGTGGTTAATCCACAACTCAAATAATCTTCACACAGCTAGTCCAAAGTTGATTGTCCGTGTTTACACCTGCAGTAAGCCCTGCTGCTGCTCTTCTGACCAAAAATTCCAGCCCCTGGCTTGTGTAGGCCTGGGACAGTAGCAACTACAGGAAAAAAATGAAATCTGATCTGTCTTGGTGAGGGAGATCCAGTCTCTCATGGTTATAGAGGTTCTCAAATTGTAATTAGTGAAGGTGGAAATCATGACTGGTACTTAATGCTTTGCAGGCCATAGATTTCTAGCAGACCACAGACCTCTGGAGGTGGAAACTAATGGAAAGCAGTTCCCAGGCTCCACGTACATGCTGCACTTTCTTCAAAGCATCCTCACCAATTGCTGGACTGAGACAAATTCCAGCCTGGCTAAGCAGACATTTTTGGTGCACTTCTACAAAATCAAGATGTGCTTTAATCCCTCAGAATTTGTTAAGGGGAAAAAAAAAAAAAAAAAAAAAAAAAAAACAAGAAACCAAACCCAAACTTTAATTCTCCTGTCACAACAAACAAGAAACTTTGCCCCATCTCTTCACACTACAGGTATCGGTTCCTCTGTCCTACCAGTGCAGTCAGAGATAGGTTTCTGTGCTCCGAGTTTTGTTCTAATAAAGAAGTAAAAGCAAGAAAATCAGAAAAGCCATGCAGATCTTACGATGTTTTGAAAGTTGCTCTGAAAACCCTGGTCACCAAGGCCATCCCCAGAAAACAAGGCCAACGAAGAAATGACTTAAGAACTTGGTGCCTGTTTTCCATACCGACTGAGAAGGGCAGGGAAAAAGTGCCACAAAAACTTAATTCAAGAGCTCCTTCTAGTTTCTGGAAAAAAACAAACAAAAATACAAAAACAAGCTTATTTCAAGAGGTTTGGGGCATTCCTGAAGAATCAGATTTATTTATGTGCACTGCTGCGAAGAGCTTCAGAGGAAAATGGGAAATGTGCCTGGTGCTGGATGAAATCTCAGAGAATTTAAATCTGAATGGATGGGACAAATGCATCCCGGTTTTACAAACATGAAACTGAAGCCCCGAATTATACTGAAAACCCATGATAGAGCTCAATATTCAATTTACATTCCTGAACCTGATTTAATGCCTTACCTACGAATATCTTTGTCTTTCGATTGTGCCAATTTACTTTATAACTTGCGTCATTTACAAAGATTACTAAAATTGACAACAGAATGTAAAACTGATGCAGTTTAAAGCATGCAACAGGAGAACAAGCAATGCAATCTTGTGTCCAGTGCAGATTCCTACAGCCTAACTTCTGCTGAAGTTCACCAGCGCAGGAGCTCCTCTTGACAAGGTACCAGTGGTGGCTTATAGCCAGCCAAGGGACACTAGATAGCAATTTCTGGCTGAGGCTGGTACAAAACGAATGTGATTGCAACTGCGTGCTGGTATATTGAGACTTGTCCTCGTTTAGACAACCTCTCTTACGAGAATGAACGCTCTTGAACTGAAATATATTAGTTATGAGAAAATTAGCGATGGCAGAGGTGAAACAGGACCACGGGCAGCGTTAACACGAGCCATACATATTTAAAACTTACTTCCTTAGTTTATGTGAACACATCATTTGTATTAGGAGTCTCCAAACAAGACGTGATCAAGTCCTTTCAAGTTCCATTACTTCCAGGAAATGGAGAAACAAAAACCACTTCACCTTGCGAATCACACACATCAAATTGTCTCCTGTAGGTTGGTTCCTTCTGCCTTTTTAACCTGAGTCAGCCCTTGCACTGAGTGCATTTAGACGACAAGGCTACACCCATCCACACCTGCCATCACTGCGGTACCACGTCACACAGCCACCCGAGGTCAAGAATCGTCTGAGCTGCACGTTGCTGAAGGCTGGGAGAGCAAATCCCCCAGTACGGATGCTCCTTTCGCACTTCTGCCCAGGGACCTGCCTTGGGCTTATCCGAGTTCCCTTTTTTCAGCAGTGGCCCTAAGCAGCTCTTTAAAGGGGAGTAAGAGTGGGCCACATACATGTGATGCTTCCCCCCAAGCTTTTCCAACCACCAACTGTTTTCAGTTCAGACAACTTGATGTGGTTTGTCAGTCTGGTAACCCCAATGGATTTCTCTCCTGAGTACTTACTCAGTCTCCCCCTGAAACTCGTGTAAAATTCTGGTTCCCACTAAGTCTACTAACCACTGCGTGAAGAACAACCCCTTTCTGTTTGTTTTCAACCTGGCTATGGAGCCACGTGGACCCTCAATCTCACCCAGTACAGCTGCTCTATATTCTTGCACTAGACGTTTGGTTTGTGAGAGAAAATCTGCAGCTCATACCTAATTTTACCATGAAGTGCGTGGAAAAGAGCCGGCTGCTTCAAACGGGATTCTCAGCAGCCATCTGGCCCACAGTGTTATCGAAACAAACTGATAGGAAAAGCTGGAAGGGAGGGTGTTTCATAAAAACACGGACTTTTCAGGCTAAGGCCTCTAAGGCCCCAGGGAAACATCTACGTCGGGTGAGGATTCATAGCCCTCACGCTTTTCTCTCTCACCATCTCCGTCATTCCTTTCCAAGCTGCAACAGGCATCAGTTTTGTTTGCCACGCTGCAAGAGGAGGAGCGATTTGGCAGCATCCCTGGAGATGGGATACTAGTTCGGGATGAAGGAAACATTCAAATCCTGCCTTAACCTTCCACATCTCTTGTCTCCCAAGGAGAGTGCTCCAGCCACCCAGCAGCAGATGATTTTAGTGGCAAAATCCACTCATTTAGGCACCGTGGCGGGGGGAACTCCTAAAAAATTGACACCTGGTGATTGCAGGCGGCTGCTCTGGGCCTTCCCCACCCGAGGGATGGGGAGACAGAACTCCAGAGCCTCTTCCAAAAGCTGCTTCTGTGTTTCATGCTAAGCACCTTGGGCAAGTGCTCCCACCACTAAAAATTCCCGAGTCTTAGGCACGAGAGAGACACAGAGATGCAGATACGTGCCAGGGTGGGTTCAGTCCCTGCCATTCACAGGAGCAGAATCTCAGGTGTTCGCTGTCCACCTGTCAATATGCAGTGCTACTTGAGGTGCTCCAGGGCACCCAGCCCAGCCTCCCCGCCGTCTCTGCAGAGAGAGTGTCTGCCCTAACACCCGAGACAGGATTGCCAGGCTTTGGGCAGACGTGGCTGGTACCCACTGAAATGTTTCAAATGGTGTTCAACGCCTGGGTGTGGGCAGCCGAGCCGAGCCCACCTCCACCTTCCCCCGAGTCAGTGGAAACTTCACAGTCGATGTTGGACACCGTCAGATCAGGCACAGGATCTGAGCTCTGCACGTTGCCTAAATACGTGAATTCTCCTTTAAACGCTCTTGGGGAACCTGTATTCTTCCACAGAGCAAGACCTTGTTGGCTGCCACATCTCATATTGAGGGTGCAGGGCAGGCGTCCTGCCGTGCTGATGGACTTTCTCCTCTACGTGGTGTCGCTCTGTAAATGAAAGAAACGTGGAAAGCACTTTCTACCTGATGTGATTACGTTTAGGAGTCACAGGCTGGTGTGGCCAAGAAACTCATGACACTGCTTCAATTTTTTCCCTACTCCGATCGCAAGAAGTTTCCTATTGTATTAATAAACTATATATCTTTAAAGTGAGTGCTTAGAGTAGATTTAGATCCTAACGGTCAGCGCTCAGCAGAAGAGCATTATTTTTCTCTAGGGGATAGACCCACCAAACACGCATGAGGTGACATCCTCATGGAAGTTTTGTTCTAATAAATTACCAGACTTTAGCTACGTATATATAAAGGACGGATTTTGTTACTAACTGGAGATTGATCCTGCCTGTGAAGGATGTGAGCTTTTCTGTGTCTGAATTTGCTGTTTGTTCTTACTTCAGAGCTCACAGATTGATCTGGTCTCTCTGAGCCATGGAGAAGATTTGAGCCAGGCACTTCTGGTCAGACATGTTCCAGAGCTACGTATCTTTTAATAGTCACAAACCCCACATCTCCTGCAGAATATATCAAATGATCTAGTTTTAGGTAGTCCTGCAAGGAGCAGGGAGTTGGAGTTGAGGACGCTTACGGGTCCCTTCCAACTTGAAGTATTTTATGATTTTCATTACAAATAAAGCATTTGATACGTTAAGCATTTTTCCTTGATTATGAACCAACTTGTATTTCTGCTGATGTCTTTCTTCTTCACAAGTTGCTGGAAATAGCTTGAACAAACAGGAGGTGGTTTGCTTGGATCGTTTACTTTGAATATTTGGCATTTGTAATTTACACTGGGTGATCCTTACCTTAGATCAATACTCAGACATTTCTCCTTCTTGATTAGATTATAAAATTTAAGGAGAGAAAAAAAAGGACAAATAGATAATAATAACTGCTTACATTAATATTGCATTACACGTTACCCCCAAACTCAGACATTAACAAATCCAATGTCATTGACAAGCCACAAACAGTTTTAAGAGGCGCATAGACATTGTCAAATGCAAGCTGAGTGTAATCAAATTTTTTCCAAGTGCCTTTATTGTAGCATCCAGGCAGATCTAGCCTATACTGATGTGGTGTGTCTAAAAAAATAGCATTATTTGTATACACAATTGAGTTTTTTGTAAGCCACAGGGACACAAAATTGTAAAAGTCTCTTTTTTCCTCCCTCTTTCCCTTTCACCTAAAAATTACACTAATTCAGTATATTTCTGCAGAAACTTTACTTAAGATTTTCCTTAAGTACCTTTTTGAATAAGGGCCAAAAATCATAAAATTAAGAATTTAGGACTACAGAAATCAAATTAATAAGCTAGTGTACCTGGGGGAGCATATAAGAAACTACCATAAAATAATAACAGCAGTAATGCTCACATCTGCCATACGCATATAAGAATCTGGGGGGGAGTGTGGGGCGGGGGGGGGGGAGGGCCTTGGTGCACGTGTGTGTGTGTTTGTGTTTATATTTACAGCCTCTCTTGGAAAGGTATATTCCACAAGATTAGTAAAGCATCCATGAAAATTACTTGTAGAAGCCCCAATAGAGGCCATACAGAAGACACTCATATTAATAGCTGTCAGTGATAAGTTCATGCATTAGGTACACCCTCTCTCACATCATGTGCATCTGATGGCAACTGCTTGCAGGTCTGAACACCCAAGGTGTGATGAATTTTTGGGGAGATACTTGCTGGTACAAAGGCACCACACGAAGGGATCTTCACAAATCTGTGGAGCTAGCCCTCCCTTCTTCCCGGGCTCAGCTCTGCTCCCGATATCTCTACCTCCTCCCCCAGGGGTGCAGGGGCAGGGAATGGGGGGTGCAGTCAGCTCTGCCACTTTCTTCATCTTCGGTGAGGGGAGTGTCCAGAACTTGTTCCTCCTGCTCCATCGTGGTCCCCCTCTCACAGCAGAAAGTCCTCCACAAACTTTCTCCAACATGAATTCCTCCCATGGGCCGCAGCGTTCTCCACAGTGCTCCGTCATGGGTCACTAACTTTCTTCAACTGGATTCCCTCCCACGGCTGCAGCCCTTCCCGAGCTGCTCCAGCGTGGGACTCCCCCGCATGCTGCAATCCTCCCAGTGCTGAATTACAGCAGCAGGGGCTGCTTCTTCCCATGAGACCCCGGCCTTCTTCAGGCACGGTCACCTTTATCATCTATGTGAAACACAGGCCATAACTCAGTGTCTGCTCCACTGTAGATCTCCATGGGTGGCAGGGGGGCCACCCTGCCGTCTCCCCACAGGATACAGGGGGGTCTCTGCTCCGGCACACCTCCCCCCTCCTTTCTTCCTCCGTCCCTCCACTGACCTTGGTGTTCACGCAGCTGCAGCAACTCCTCCTCCCCAGTCCCACTGCTCCTCACCACGTTCCTTCTTAAATACGTTATCGCAGAGGCGCAGCTGATGGGCTCAATTTCCCAAACAGAAGTGGAGCTGACTTGGAGCTGGGGGAGCTTCGAGAAGCTTCTCACAGGGGGTTGCCCCTACAGCCCCCTCCCTTGCTACCAAAAATCCTCACCACTCACTCAGACCCAGGACAGCCTCTTACAGGGAAACTTCTTAGGACCTCTGTTACTCATAATTTATATATAAACACTTTCAGGGTCCTGATCCAGAGTCCACTGAAACACTGAAAATGTCCATTTCCTTTGCTGAGTTTGCCTCATTTTTTCGCTAAGTTCATGTATTAGTTCAAGTCCAGCTCAGCCATTCAACTGTATGTTGGCAAGCCCCAGTTTTATAAAGCTTGTTCACAGCTTCCAAAATTAACTTCCTAGCTAAAAATGGTAAGACCTTCAAATAGTCACAGCATGGAGTGTTTGCCTTTTGGTTTTTGGAGCCTACAGATCCAAATGTACTTACACTCCAGCTTTAAATTGTTCCTACATCCCTAAGACTTAAAAATTCATTTTGCTTTTGTTAATAAAAACAGGGTCTGTTGCATAGACACTTGTTCTAAGGATCTAAGGCTTTAAGAAAGACATATTTAATGAAAGCACAAGGGTTAGCTTGTGTTTACTTGTGGTTAACTTGTGTTAACTATGCTAAATAAGGCTGAGCCAAAGATCTGGAGGAAATAGTATCACTGAACAGTAGATTTGGCAAAAACTGATTTTCTAAGGGGTGAGAATATTTGCCAAGTCACATCAACTCTTACAGACTGTTTTAGCCAACAAAAATGAAGAAGAAATGTCAAAAATGTCAAAACACTTCTCAACATTTTTTGAGTGAAATGTTTTATTCCAGCTTGGATGATACCCCTTGTATCCTCATTTTCCAAATAAGACACTGAAATTTTCTATTTGGAAAGGCACTTTTTGCTTACAAATTGAACTGAGCTTCAGAAAGGAGGCATTAGAAAGGATTACATAACCAGATAATTAAAGACAAGGAATTGCCTCAAACCAGCTGGTCTTGGCATTGTTTTTTAAACCCCAAATCCTCAAATCCATTGTAACTAGTTGAGAGGAAACCCATAGCTTCTTAGCTGTGAGGAGATGGCTTAGTAGTTTGAAATGATTAGGAAGGACTTGTCTTCCTAAATTTGACTGCCAGTTTTGACATTTCCTCAATGACCTTGAGTACATCACTCAACGTTCTATGCTTCAGCTTCCTCGTCTATCTATTTGGATTTTACTAGGATTGTATTGAAATCATCTCATGTCAAGAATATTCATTTACCAGTATGGATTGTCATTTACTTATCAGTTTATCTGTGACAAGGCTGTCCTGTAATGTCATTGTCATCTTATTAACTGGGAAAGTAGAGCTTCAGGTGTATTTTTATCCCACTATGGATTATAGGAGTTTGGTTGGCGTGGTTATTTCCATTCCTCTAAGTAATCAAGTGATTTTTCTATCGTGTTTGAATGCACTTCTAAACTATTCCAGCTCATATTTGCCCCTAGGTAGCATTTCCTTCCAAAATAATTGTATTGAACTGCAGAAAATAATAAAGAAAAACATCATCGTACGCATGGTGCCGCACAAGATTCCTGCCCTGATGGGGGAAGGTTACTCACACAACCTACTGCATGCTCATGCTTTTTGCTTTCCTCACAAAGAAATTAAATGGGGTTCTACACCCGAGCTTTAACCATCAGTAAAATACCAACCCGCTGGCACAGGCCATTACCAGCAAGGCGAAGCGGCTCACACAGAAGCCAGTTGTTGTGCCTAACCTGCGCGCTGGGACGACTCCGAAGTTTTACAGTATCAATTACCGGGACTAAGCTGTTGGGAAGGTATTTGCACAGAGCGAGTTTCCAAATTCCCTTTCTCTTTGCATCCCGCTCGGTGGCCCCTGGCAGCCCACGGGCCGCCGGGTGACACCGGGACGGGGACGACACGAGGCCTCTGCTCCCAGGGGACCCGCCTGGGATGCAGCATGGCCGCGGGGAGCAGCAGCAGCCCCAGGCAGTGCAGTTTCTCGAGCATTTGCTGACCCAAACTGTCCCTCTTCTGGCGACAAGCAAGGAGCAAAAACGTTAGACAATTCCCGGCACCCATGAGTTTCATTCTGTAGCAAATGGAAGCACTTTGCTCCTAAACTGTAAGAACCTGAACAAATGCATTTTTCTAACTTACGCACAGATCGTTTTCCACAATGCTCCTAAACTGTAAGAACCTGAGCAAATGCATTTATGTAACTTACGCATGGATTGTTAATGCAAATGACCTCTGGCCACATTCGCACTGTTCCTAGGATCAGGAAAATCCTCCGGCTCTGCCTTGCCGGGCTCTGCCTCAATTCCTGAATAAAACAGCCCAGGGACTATTCCCTCTCACATCTCCACCATTAAGCTCTCCCCAAGCCAAGTCCAAACTGCCTTACGGGAGCAGTGGGGTGCCCAGGAGAACACTTGGCTGCCGCGGCCAAAACCCAAACCCGGCCCCTTGCTGAGGCTCCAGCCCCCCGTACAGCTGCTGAAGCATCTCTGGGGGGTCACCAACGAATTTACCTGTGTCGTGGTTTGGGCCTGGTCGGCAGCCAACCACAACGCAGCAGCTCTCCCTCCCTTCCCCTCCGGCAATGAGAAGGGACAGAGAGCCAGGCTTGGGGTTCAAGATAGGACTGGGATGGGGGAAAATCCCCTTTTATGATCACGAGCAAGAGGCAGACTCGTTAGGGGAAGAAAAAAAGAACATACATTTATTACAGATACTAACAACACATAACAGAGCAGGACAGTGAGAAGCATTGCCACATCTTGAGAACACCTTCCCCCCACCCCTCCCTTCTTCCCGGGCTCAGCTCTGCTCCCGATATCTCTACCTCCTCCCCCAGGGGCGCAGGGGCAGGGAATGGGGGGTGCAGGCAGCGCTGCCACTTCCCTTATCTTCGGTGAGTTTCCGGAATTTGTTCCCCCTGCTCCATCGTGGTCCCCCTCTCACAGGAGACAGTCCTCCACAAACTTTCTCCAACACGAGTCCCTCCCACGGGCCGCAGCGTTCCCCACACTGCTCCGTCATGGGTCACTAACTTCCTCCGACTGGATTCCCTCCCACGGCTGCAGCCCTTCCCGAGCTGCTCCGGCGTGGGACTCCCCCGCATGCTGCAATCCTCCCAGCGCTGAATTACAGCAGCGGGGCTGCCTTTTCCCATGAGACCCCGGCCTTCTTCGGGCACAGAACCTTGATCATTCAGGCAAAAAACACAGGCCATAAATCAGTGTCTGCTCCACCGCAGATCTCCATGGGTGGCAGGGGGGGCCGCCCTGCCGTCTCCCCACAGGATACAGGGGGGTCTCTGCTCCGGCACACCTCCCCCCTCCTTTCTTCCTCCGTTCCTCCACTGACCTTGGTGTTCACGCAGCTGCAGCAACTCCTCCTCACCAGTCCCACTGCTCCTCACCACGTCCCTTCTTAAATATGTTATCGCGGAGGCGCAGCTGATGGGCTCAGTTTTGGTGCAGAGGTGGAGCTGACGTGGAGCTGGGGGAGCTTCGAGAAGCTTCTCACAGGGGGTCGCCCCTAGAGCCCCCTCCCCTGCCACCAAAAAACTCCACCACTCACCCAACCCAGGACAGCCTGTGAGGGAAAAGCAGAGTAACACCGCTACCATCCCGCGGACGGGACGCTGACGCTGGCAAGAGGGAAATTACTTGCCCAAGGTGGCAGCAGTTGCCTGTGGGAGAGGTGGGCAGAGGGCCAGGGCCCGGCCTGGCCACCCGAGAGCTTTTATCACGAAACTGTCGTCTGAAAATGAAGAGCCCCCGGTAGGCATCCTACAGCCTCTCCGGAGGATCAGTGAGCACTGCAACACTCCAAAAGCATGAAGGGGTAAATCTGCAGGTGGTGTGAATTGAATTAAGCTATGGCAATGAGCACTAGGAGAGGGTCTGACCACGAACACACACGCTCAACCAAGGGGAAACCCGGGTCACCTGTGGGACGTCACTTCTCTTTACAGAAAGCAGCGTGGCTACTAGAGACTAGGGTGTAAGAGCTGATTTCACAGCTCCAGGACCATCTGCTTCATCTTTTCCAGTTTGTGATGGCAAGCAACAAACGGAAAAAAACTTCTTCCAAGCAGAAGTACATATATGTTTTTTAGGAGGTTATTTGTTAAATACTTTAAATTAGAAACTGAGTTTGGTTCAGCGTAATGTTATATGTAGCTTCACGGTTTTTATTCAAATCCAGTGAAGGTACCTCACAAAGGTTTAACTTTAACAGGACTCCAGTCCAGGCTTACCTGCTTTGCTGAACAGAAGTGGGTTTCATCATCCAGCTAAAGGTAAGCAAATACTTAGTTCCTTGATTTCTTCCTGGAAAAGAGGTCAGAAAAAGCATGACCTTCTTTCTCAATCCCAATCAGTTCCGATTGTATTATTCTTTCTACCAGGGCTAGTTCCAGATTTTTCTGTCCCTTGATGAAACATTTACAGAAGATCTTCTATCATCTCATCCTCTTACAGAAATAAAAGATGTGTTTAGAATGAAAATCTGTAAATTTGACTAGCCATTGTTACATTAATTACTCTACCTTACAGTGCAAGAATCTTCTTTCTGGAAGGGGGAATTGTCGTGGTTTGAGCCCCACCACTCACTCAAACCCAGGACAGGATTATGCCCAGTTTTCCAAACTAGTAATGTGTATTTTTAACGGGGCATTGTATTTTTTGACAAGGGCTTTGTTTTCTAAGGTGATACCCTCTGCAATAGTCATACAAGCTTAGTTTCAAAACCACAAACTCAGTTCCTGTTGAAATCTACAGCAAAATTACCATTGAATTCTCTGCTAAATTTCAGCACCTGCCTCCTTTCACTGCATGCCAGCATGGACAGCTTTCCATTCAAATACTTAAACTGTGTTTACAACCTCCCATATTTTTTCTGAAGATACCACAGAAGACTGAGTATTAGTTTATGTGCTTCGGCTTTTTTTTTTTGAGTCCCTATCACCGTACACTGGGCATTTGCAGGGTTCCTGTTTGTCCCTGCTAGGTACCACCAGGTCTGCACGTATGATTGCTGTGTTCTGCTTGCTATTATGGTGTCCAGGTGTTGTTTTTAACATAAAAAGACCTCGATTTTAAGTAGACTAGAGGAAAGCATTTTGATCAAAGGACCGAGTTTTGCAGAGCTTGCTAATTCGAAGCATGAAGTAGCCCTGATCTTCAGAGACTCCAGTTCCTATGAAGGGACATCTCCCAGAAGCAAAACTCCCATCACTGCTTGTGGCCCGGTGCCAGGCCAAATCCCAAAGAATTCCGTGGAAGCTCATCGCCATCGGCCCTAAGGTTTGTCGTCCACTGCCTTGACGATGTGGATGAACGAACTATCGGAGATGCCCAAGGAAACATTCACACAGTTGCTGCTGCAGAATGGCAAAAGCAGGACACGTTAACACCCACGCCGCCACTGCTGTGCACTACACAACCCAGCAGGGAAGAATCTTAAGCAAGAGGGATTTTTCTTTGGACATTTTATTTGCCTCAGGCTGGCTTAAAGAACATTTTTCTCAGAGCACATGCATTTTTTTAAAAAAAAAAATGGCCATTAGCAGAGCAGTGCCTCTGCAAGAAAAACATTTGGTAAGGAAAAAAAACACCTGAAAGTTTGTTTTCTTCAGAAATTCTGTGTTCTCCAGCACCAATGCTGATTTTCTTATTGGCCTTGAGGAGGCACGGCTATAGGCATTTTAGCTGGTCAGCGAAACCAAGTAAGACTGCCAGGTACTTGAAATGCCTGTGCATCTTTTCCATTACACCAAGATGAACGCTGCTCTCTGCTATAAACGCAGGGTCTGGTCACGTTCCCATCAAAGTCAGAGGCAAATTTCCCATTGACTTTAACAGCGCAACACAGAGCCTTTACAAAACAGACAGGGCACCTTTGTGTTTCCTACTGAACGTGAAAAAGAAAAGCCTGAGTACCAAAGGCTTTGATCAAAAAGAAAACAAACACATCTTATGGGCTTTTTAATAACTTTTTCCCCAATAAAAAGACTAAAGTTGGCCTGAAATTATTATACTTGTTTGAACAGAAAGCATATTTTCTTCCTAGCTAGACATTATATCATTCAATCTATGAACACAGAGATGTAATATAAAATAATAAAGAGGAAATACAACATAAAGAAAGATTTAGACATATTAAATTGCTTAATGAAAACACAAGAGAAAAGGAGCGAGTAGAAAATATGGTTTCCTTTATTGAGAAAAATTCCTTTTCAAATGCTTAATCAATAATAAGGTTCATATTTCCTGACTTGAGATATTTTCTACATTTATTTTTTAAGAAAATTATTAAATATCTGTAATGAATATAGATTGTAATTTTTCTGCAGCCTGGCCTGGCAGCATCCTGGATAGATTGTTCTCTGCTTACTCTGTTTCCCTTCTGCAGCTGACTGTTCCAAACAGCGTGTTTCATAATTTCATGTCAGATCATTCTTGTCACTGAATTCTAGCCCGTAAATGTAAATATATATATATATATAATATATGTAAATATGTATCATGTTTCTGGTAGTCTGGAGATGAGTCAAATTAACACGGAACATTTGTTATCACCTAACATTTTTATGTTCTTTTACTGCAGACCAGATTGAGGCTATAAGAGGCTAGTGTAGTCAAACTGCCAGTCATCCTGTTTCCATATTCTTTGACTCAAATTCCCTGTCCACAGGCTATTAAATACCTGGACTCTCGTGACCAGGATGCAAGAATGTAAGACTTCCATCAGTGCGTAAGGCCTTCAACCCCCCTACTCCACCATCTTCTGCCCGAGTATCCATGGTACAATATGTTCTGAAACTTCTTACTCCGGGGGGGTGGAATATCTGAATTATCACTTAAAGTAGCTGCCACCCCTGGGAAGCTGTGGAGCACTCATCTTCTCTCAGGATCCTGCAGGAGCTTTACATTTCATGCTCGGCACGGGCAGCTTTCTCCCAGAACAGGACTGCAAACAACCAGCGCCAGCACGGCGTATTTGGGTAAGACCCAAACCTTTGCATGTAGTTCCCAAAGGAGGGGGTGGGGGGGAAGGCATGGCAAATACGTAAGATGACTTTAACTGTGGTATCAGCAGCTTTGGAGACTCTGTGGCGCTGGCAGACTCGTAAGATGCAGGTTCTGTGACGCAGGGAGCTATGGAGGTCACCGAGAGGGAACAGAAAATTCCCAGTGCCTGGAGAAGCTGGGAGGGAGAAGGAGGCCCAAGGTATCTGCAGGGATGGTGCAAGGAAAGAGCAAGAGGTGGGTGTGTAGATAGGCAGCAGTCAGGCATGCCGGGAGGAAAGAAGTAAGCAAGGAGTAACCTCTGAGGAAGAGGTGTTGGGCACAGAGCGGGAGAAGTGCAGGTGGCTCTCGGCCATATGAAGATGTCACAGTCTGATCACGCCTGGACTAGCCTAATTCTTCTCTGTTCTATGGTCTGACGTCAAGACAACAATCCAGCTCTTACATATAGGTGAGAACTGCTGGTTTGGACAGTAGGTATCCAAAAAAAAAATGAGTCCAGGGCCAGCAGACACAACAGAGAACTTATGGAAGATGGTGGTCCTTCTTGCTTGACATCTGATTGCCATCTGGAGGCTTCCGGCATGGCATCATGGCTTAGGCTGTACTTATTCTTTGTCAGCTGGTCCCAAATTTAAAAAAGAAAAAAGGCTTCTATGGTGATAACAGCTTCCACGGGGTGTGTGACCTGCAAATAGCCGGACCTCCACATTCCCTCACCCCCCGAACACTGGGGATATAAACCCACCACTCCCCTGAACAGTACCCCGCGAGTGCCTCTTGAGACATCAATAAAAATTAGTGAGTATCAGCTGAGGTTCCTTACACTGCACTCGAGAAATAAGGGGTGGGAAAATCACAGTGTGGAGAACGTGGAGCCTGGTTTGAGCTGCAGGCGTGGCCGAGCAGCAGGGAGGTCGGGGGGGCTGGAGCCCCCCCACGCACTGCCCAGGCCACGCGGCACCGGCTGCGGGGGAAAAGCAGCTCCTGGAGACGCTTCGGACGGTCACACTGGGGTGAGGGAAGTCACAGAAGGGGGCCAGGCAGACAGAGAGTAATCCGCCAAAGAACACTGAAGTAACCTTATTTACATATCTGAGCTAAATTTGGCTAGTTTCTAAGGAGCATCACTACAGGCAGTATGCACGTATCACCTGGAGCATCATCTCCTTCCATTCTAAACCTCTAATGATGGTTTATAAACAGAAATGCGGTCAAGCTAGAAATAAGCTGTCACACAAAATGCTGACATCTCTAAATACCAAGAGTATCCGAGAGATTTTTTTTTTTTTTTCCTCATTAAAAATACTGCATTTGTTTTTCTCAGAGAAAGTAGAAGCCATTAGAAAAATCAACATTACGCTACCTAATCTTTCTCATTTTCATTTTTAATTCCCCCAGCATGGGGCTGGGATAGCTCCGCTCCTTTGCACTGAGTGCCATGACAACCAACAGACCCATCAGGTATCTGCATAGCCATTCTGCTTGTTACCTGGGGAAAAATGTACACACCAAACGCTCAAACTCTTTATAAACCTATTAAATATAAATAACTAATCTGATTTGACCTAGATAGCTGAATGTAATGTATCATAACATCCCAATATAAAAAAAAAAAAAAAAAAAACAACCCTAAGTGTAAAAGCATTTATATACATTACAGAGACTAAGTAAAGTTGCTACAATGAGACATCAGGTGTATTATGTTTTACGAGAAGCTTTCCTTAAACAAAATGCTTTCAAAGTGAAAAATCTGAGTACAGCATTCAAGACCTGAGGTACTAATTCTATGCTGTAAGTACAAACTCCTATGAATGGTGTAGTTAAAGCACTTCGAACGTGTGTACTTTCATAAATTATATACATCGCAAATCTGGATAATTAGTACTGCCAAAGAAAAATGTATTTTAAGTTGCCCATAGAGCTCTAGCTTGTGCACCTTATTGGAACCTAAAGCACACAGGTAAAATACCATAGGTTTTAGCAGTCTCCATCTATGAAACAAGCTGTTGTTACAATACACGTTCAAACACAGATAAGCAAAATAAAGATATCTGAATTTCTTGCCACGATCCATTACACAAACACCAATTATGAATAAGTATATCCAACTCAGCTGCCAGTCTTGCGTTTCCTTCATCGTGTAGTTAATCAATATACACTAGAAATTTTATGTGATACTGTCATGGTTTGAGCCCAGAGGGCAACTGAGCACCACACAGCCATTCACTCACTGCTTCCCCCTCAGGAATGGAATGGAGGAAATAAAGTAAAAGGATCCAGAATCCAGATAAGGACAGGGAGGGGTCGCTCACCCATTACAGCCACAGGCAACAGACAGACTCCTTAGGGGAGGAAGAAAGAGCATCGCTTTAATTCAAACACTAAAAACAACACTTAACAGCCAAGGTGGGAGAGTGAGAAGCGCCTCCACATCCAGAAACACCTTCCCCCCCACCCCTCCCTTCTTCCCCCGGCCCAGCTCTGCTCCCCATCTCTCTCCCTCCTCCTGCAGCAGGGGATAGGGGTTACAGTCAGCCCAAGGCTCCTTCCTTCTCCGGATGGGGGATTAACGCTGCACATCCCTCCCTTGCTCCGCGGGGCTCCCCCCCCACTGCAGACAGTCCTCCACGAACCTTCTCCTCAGTGAGTCCCTCCCCACGGGCCGCAGCCGTTCCCATGCTGCTCCGCCGTGGGTCCCCCCCGCGTGTTCCAGCCCTCCCAGCGCCGAACCACAACAGTGGGGGCTGCTTCTTCCCTCAGAGTCCCGGCCTCTTTTACGTTCAGATGCCTGGCCTGGGCTCCTCCTCAGGCTTCAGGTCGGCCTTGACTCCACTGTGGCCCTCCATGGGCGGCGGGGGGGGCGGCCCTGCCGCCTCACCACAGGATACGGGGGGGCTCTCTGCTCTATCCCATATCCCACCCGCTTCCTTCTCCTTCTCTCCACTGACCCTGGTGTTCACATAGGTGTCCTTCTTATAACTCCTCTACACATCCCAAACCCCTCTCAGGTTCCTCCTCTTAAATACGTTCTCGCAGAGGTGCAGCCACCGTCACTAATTGGCTCGGCCCTGGCCACAGGTGGGTCTGACTTGGAGCCCGGGGGTGGGGAGGGCCCTCCCCACTACCAAAAACCTTGCCAGAGAAACCCAGCGCAATGTCCAGTTCGCATATGATGTGGAAACACCAACAATATATCCATCTTTACTTCCTATCCTTATAAATGATGTTATTTTCACAGATAACCTATTTAAATGTCCTAACGTTTTCCCTCAGAAGCACCATCGTTCTGGCAGCTGGCCTTTGCAAGAGAATGTAAAATTCTCATCAGAAAAATGACAAAGTTTCATACTCTTCAGCTGACTGAAGGCTTTAATTTAATTAGCACATCTTTATCTCAGCCAAATTTAAACGAATGCATTTCTTGGTATCGCAGGAGGAAGGCCTAGCACTTGTACTCTATGACCTAGGTAAAGAAACTGCTTTAAAGATGAAGGGTTGGTGGTTCTCTGGCTGATTTTAACTTTATTCAGTTTAATTAATTCTCCCGTTCTCTAATCAGTACTATCCCATTCTATTGCAGCTTCCTCCTCAAACATCTATTATTCTTCCCTCATATCACTGAATTCCCAAAGCCTTTATTTCGCATTTGATTTTATTTTCTTCCCTTAAATGTCTCTCCAAACACTTAATGGCTTTTTCAGTTTCCCAGATAACATCCAGAGATGTTCAAACATTAATGGCTTTGCTTCCAGCTACTGACCAGCCATATAAATCTGTTCACACACCACAACTCTCTTCATGAAAATTGGGTTCAACTCTGTCCCAAACTTCACTACAAAATCTGTTTGAAATCTGCTGATTTAAACCAGTGTGCCACTAAAAACCACAGTTGTCGATGCAAAACGACCACCTTCATGACCCTAATGTTTTGACACATTTGAATCTGTCAGGAAGTCCAAAACAAATGAATTTCATTTGTAGCTGGGAGACAAATAAAATTCATTTGGGTGGTGGTTTCCCCATAAACTAACTCCATTAGACTCACTGCTGCCTTTCATCTGGTACCACTCTCATTCATCTTTTGCTCAGAAACAGGAAGAGGAGGCTGCTGCTTCTGCCAGACCTGATTCAGACCACATGAGCTCCACTGAAGATGCACAAGTTGGCTTGAGGCTAGAATTTGGCCCACAGGAGCTGGCGAAATCATTTTTTCTCTGCTTGAGACCAAACTACCCTCACAGAAGTGCAGCAGAAAGAAGGACTGTAGGAAAACTTAACTAAACTGCTTGTACACGTTGTCCTCTGTGGAATGTTCTATAATCTATTAAGTTCTTATTCCTCTGCTTCATGACGGTCTAAGTGGAGGAAAAAAAAGATAAGCATTTAACTAACATGTGAGAATACTTGTCAAGGTCACCCCAATTTATGATTAGGGCCTTTTTATTTGGTTTGCAACTCTTGCAAGATAATTCCTTTTACTGAAGTATTCACTGGGTGCAGTTTCTAACAGAAAATCTATTAACTGGAATTAAATATCAAGACTACCAGGTATGCAGAGCTGCACTATAGAAATGTGTATTATCTGGTCATCTCTAGCATGTTACTCCATTTTTTTTTTTTTAAGTTTAAATGAGTGTTCAGAAGGGGAACATGGAGGTATAAGATTGAGAGGAAAAATATGTAAAACCAAAGCATCGCACAATCCCTGCTGAAGATATTTAAAAAGAAACCAAAACAAACAAACAAAAAAAACAGAGAAATGAAGCCCCATATATGACCCAGGGTTAAGTGTACTCAACTCTCTATGAAATATATGTATATTTCTACGAGCAGAAACAGAAGTCTGAGAAGTGTGTTTTCAGCAAACGAGGAAGACTGAGTGCACGATGCACAAGCACCTTTAGCCACAGCCCTTGGAGCCCCAAACCAAACAGATCACTGCTCATATGAGAAGCAGCTGGTAAATAGGATAGAAAATGTAGAAGCTTGACGAACAACAGGACTACGGTCTGACATCGAGGGGATAATAAGCAAAAGCAAGCAAGGACAGCAAGTGATGTCACGGGTGATGATGATGTCATCACATGCCCCGGCAGCCATACGCAATTCTGGGAATTCTGTATTTTGGGACTAACTGGGAACTCTTTTTGCTGAACCAGTGGCTACCAGCTCTGGAACGGTGATCCCTTTACAGGCTTGCAATATTGCTGAAAACCAGTTTGGGATTTCAACTGGGGGTGTTGGCAAAAACCAACAGGACAACCGACAGACGGGTAGCATAGCCAGTCCCCCTCCGGCCGTCAGGTACCCGCAGCCAAACTTCTGCCAGCCCATACAGCTCCAGCTCTGTGCACGGTACTGACGGCGGGATCTCCACAACAAATTCTTTTCCAGTTCTTTGGCACCTGGTAAAATACTCGCTTCTCCTTCATGCGCACGGTGTTAAGGTTACAAATCGAAGTCACTCTGGTTTACCCAATACGCTGCTCCCTTTCCTACGTCGCTGCTGCCCCGCATCGCCCTAAGCCCGGGGTCACTCTGCGTTTCCCAATTTGTCAGCCGTCAGGGTCAGGCCAGCCTCTGAGCCCTGTTTTAGCCCAGGATGGGGATCACGTGAAAATAATTCAATGAGAAACTCCTCACCCTCCTTCGGACGCGCAGAACCAGACTTTTGATCGGAACGATGCCAGGGAGAGGACACCTCACGGACTGCTTCTGTGTGCGAGGAGCCTTGAGCCAGGCTCTTGGGAGCACACGAGGGGACAGACGTGCCAGCCAAGCTTCCCAAACCCTCCAGCCCCAGGTGGGCGCCAGGTCGAGCACCGATCACGTGTATCCTGCCCCCTTCTTCAGTGCATGCAGCCCACAGCAAACCAAGATATCGGCAGAGCTGTTTTCTTGCATCACAGCGGGACAGTGCTCGGGCTTCTCTGTCTCTTACCTTTGGCAAAGCATTCAGTCTACCAGTGAGAACCCTCCCTTGGGGCTCAAATGAGAGGAAAATGAGGCTTGATACGGTGTTTCCTAGGGACAATGTATGTGTGAGAAAGAAAAGAAAGTCAATTTCTGCTGCGTTTAAAGAGACGGACTTTGGCATTGGAATTTTCCTCTTCCCTCTATCAGCCCAATGCTGCTTCTAAACGTGTCCTTTTCTGGCTGTCTTCATTTTCAGTGCACTATTCCTCTGTCGTTCTCACTGTCACAAGAATCAATAGATACTAACAGCATTACATGGGCAGGGGTGTTAGCCTCGCAATAACTTCTGGAGACACGGACATGTGGTTTATTAGTTTATCATGTATCTTTGACCAGCTCTTTTCCCCTTTGCCCTCTAACCTGCCTTCCAGGGCCTCATGCTAAGACTGCACAGCACCAAGAGGCAATAATCCACATCTTTGTTTTACTTAGATCAAGTAGTAAGGAAAATGTTTTCTGTTCCTACAAATATAAAATCACCTTTGCTAAACATTACACTAGCTTGTACAAGGTCTAGGAGCGATGAAACTTGATCCCTGGTTTGTGAGACAGACATATATATATATGTACTAATAACATTCCTGCTTAAAAATTCAACAACTAAAACCACTGTGACAATGAGAGTATTGCCACACGGAAAATGGAAGATTGCTAGTTTCCTAGCAAGCAACAGTTCTTTCTCCTAGCCCTGGAAGAAGCCAACAAAAATGCTGAGAAACTATTTACAGTCACATTTACGGTATTTTATTCAGTCTTGTAGCACAGTGCAGTTAGAAGTGGGTGGGGACGTGACTCTATTACCTTCTTACATGATAAAACAGATGGACTGAGAAGGCAAAAACCAAAGAAGGTATGTTACTTGAGCTTCACATAACAGTATTTCACAAGCAACAGCTTTTGACACACTTCTATTCCTACCACAAATGTCTGTGTAAATGAAACCAGCTTATACCAGGAACCACTGACCAAGAGCACCTGCTACTCCTAACAGCAACCGCCTGTTGTATACACTGTTTAGGGACCTATTCCATAAACTGCAGTTATTTCTGTTTATCAAGGTTGTTTATGCGAAACTAATTAAAAACATCAAGATCATTGTTTCATAGTCACTAAGACACAGACAACCGAAATGTCATTTTAAAGACAAGTTAAATCAAACACTGGTTTGCTTTTTTCAGCTCTGGCTGCCTAAATCTGTGCTTCCCATAAGGGTACAGGATCAGGCAGACTTGTCAGCTCTGCACACCAGCAGCAATAAAGGACACAGAATGACAACAATCCTTCCACATAAATACCAATTTTATTTTTGCTGAAATCTAGACTTCTTGTTTCATGGTATTTTTATAGAACACTTCATATGCATTACATTACAAGAAGCAGTTATGATGCAAGAATATTGTCACACTCCCATTTACAGTTATATTACGAAATAGTGTTAAATGAAATGAGAACACTGCTTCAGTAGACCACTGAGACAGCACAGCTCTTCAGGAGAAAATAATAGTCCAGACCTTGGTAGCATTCAAAAAAATCTTTCCTCTGCGCAATCATGGGGTTTATTTAGATATTCAGAGTAAGCAATATTCTGCTCTAAGAGACATAAATGCTATTTGTTACTGGGAGAAAAGTCTTTTATGAATGCTTGTGTAAGACAGGTTTATGTGCCTCCAATATACCACTTACCTGATTGGCCATAAATATATTGCTTCTTCAGCTACCTCAAAAACTGCAACAAAAACCAGAGGCATGGTCAATCCCCGGAGCACACACATGTTGCTGCCTCGCAAGTAGCTGGAAGGCTGAAGTTTCTGTTAGAAGAGAAAATAATTAAAGCAATAGATTGGAATTGCTAATTTTAACTCTGCCTACCCCATCCCAAATAATACAAAAAATTCTCTTGTGATTTGGAATTTACTACCCATTTTAAGTGAATGAAGGTGATGAAACATTGCACGGAGACAGAGAGGCAGGCACAGGTCTTTTTATATGACAGGAGGGTATTTATATCATGTCATTATCATTTGAGAAAGAAGGAGAGATACCTGTCCGATGCATTGGTTTTGCTAAGGAGAGGTGATTCTTCCTTCAGTGAATACCTAACTTGGATATACACATATTTTGCTTAATTTGCAGCTACAGATACACTTTCATGCCTCCTCCTGATAGTTGGTGATGCAATTTATATGCTTCACTTCAGAAACAGGAAGTCTAATATTCCCAGTAAAAGTTTAGGAACTTCGTAGTGCTGACAACGTAACATTTCACTACAATAGTGACCTAGAGTCACTGCAGCAGCACTATGGGAGACACAGCAGGTGCAAAGCAGGTGCCAAAGAGAAGCACAAAAATCTTTTCCCTTTGGCAGGTTCACCTTGTTCCCACTTCCTAAAAGACAGGATTAGGCATGTGCCAGTTACACCAGCCCCTACAATGTAGGGAAACAAAAAGGATCCCTGAGCTGCGGCAGTAGTGGGAGATTCTTTATATTTTTCTTTACTTAGAGAAACATTTTGGAAGAGGTGTCTTGCATCTGAGGGCTGTAAGTGAGGTCAATACAAGTTTCCACCTGTGATAAGTGAAGACTCATGGGAAATGGAAAATAACTTTCTTATTCTCTTCCAAAATGCAGTTCACCTGGGAGGCCTTTGGAGACTCTAGACAAGGACTGGTGCTTCACTCCCTTAATATGGCTAGAGGTATCTCATCTGGTTTCTACAGCATCAAGAGGAGCAGGTACCACGGTAACATGCACAGATCCTTTACATCTTAAGTTGTTTAGAGCAGATGAATGCGAAGCTTCCTTATTGATCCTGAGAGGATTTGTCTAAGGAGTTCAATATTCACAGTAACGTATTTTTAAGCAACGCACTTAAAATTGTATCAGTAGCATACCAGCTGGTGGGTGTTTTATGCCCTGTTCATATAAAAGCTCGATTCAACTGTGTTTCAGCCTTTGGGGACAGTGGGAAGGGAAGGTTTCAGTTGATGAACTGCACAGTTACCACGGAGGAATCCCTGCACACATCTCTAGCAATATAATTTTCACATTCTTTCTTCAAGAAGACAACAGCGTGGTCATTAGAGAATACAAGAAAGAGTTTTCCAAAGCTTGACAGGCTTCTCCTTCCCACATCTGGTGGTAACCTGTCCACAGTAAGCCCTTGTACTTTACTATGGGCCCACCAGCGTGGGTTTGGTCTACTTAGTTTAGATGTTCTAGTTTTTCACACCAGCTGTACCTTTTATGTCTCAAGAGGATGCTTGGAAAGTCCTACCCTGTAGAACATCATCCGGAGTGCAAAATTCAAGAGTTTTCACACGGTGCTCAGTTTTTCCCTTTCGCTTTCTCCAACTGGAACCTCTCTTCCCATCAGGCAAGGCCATCATCATGCAAATGTATTATTCTCAGCTGAACTGTGTCTTTGGCTATCAGGTTGTGGTAAATGAAAGGTATGGCCTAAAGAGGATTCTGCTTAGGTTCTTGTTTGCTTGTGAAGCAGAGAAGAAAGAAAAGGACGTTTCTTCTCTCTTTGTAAGACCCAGGTGCCAAAAGAAATAATTAAGTGTGGAAATTCTATATGTACTAATCCAATACCTTTTCTATGAAAGATTGTTCTGCAATACACTCATGCAACCCAATTATATGATTGAGTTTATCTTCTTATGTGTATTTCTTTCTTTCTAACATCAAGCTAAACATCGCACTCTGCACTCATGCAAAGCAACTTCTTGGACAAATCCTGCTTGAGAATTTTACCAAATGACAGCTGTATTTCAATAACCCCCTGATCCAACAGACAACAAAGTAAACAGGAAAAGCTCTGCTGGAGCCAGACTCTGGGCTTTTCAGCTGTTTCTGTATGTAAAATGATTAGTACATGTGTACATATTCATGCATGGGGGAGAACAAGTTCAGCTTTAACTGTCAGTATGCATAGGTGCATACCACAGTATGCAATTTGTTATTAATAAAAAAAGCTAATAAAGAAGGCTTTGTGAGTTTACTTTTCATTAGAAAAGCTCAATAAACACAAGACCTGGCTTTCTCCTAATCTGCTCTCACGAAATAACCTCAACATAACTTATTCTACCCACTGAAAATTTTCACTGTTTATCAGTTTAAAATTGATCACTCTTTTCTTGTTTACTGTTGCAATAACGGCTCTCCAGCAGAAAGAAAAAGGGTTTTTTCTTTTAAATAAAAGGAACACAGTCGTATTAATGTTAGGATATTTCCCTCATATTATAGAGCTATAAAAATGGAGAACAAAACCGTTGGAGGGAGGGGGTTGCCACTCTGCAAATTTCTATTAAATGGAAGAAATGGAATTCCATGGAGTATGCCTACCCAGTTCTGGCAGTTTCTGCTTGCTTTTATCCCACTTACATTTGACTGAATAAAACTGTCTTCTACTACACCTGCATCTCTGACCTAATAAAGCAGTATCCTGCTGGTTGCAACAATAAGTTTCGCTGACGACATTGATAGCTCAAAGTGTTCAACATCTCACTTAGATTCTGATCCAAAATATACTGAGAAAACGGATGTATTCTTCTCACCAGAGTACGTTTCACACCACAGTTCCCCGGGCAAGCCCTTTTTCCACCAGGTGGTCTGCTAAACTCTACACCATTTGCACACTTGGCTGTTCAGAAATGGTGTTGTTGACGTATGAATAGGAAATTCCCCCACACCCGAGGTATACACAACTGCACGCTCCTCGCTAAGGCCATGCTCCCTTAAAGTCAGAAATTACTCTTCCAGCTGGAATGGATCTTTTGGTCAGCATGCCACGGCCCACAGAAACAACAGTGCTTGTAAGCTGCTGAAGTTGAAAACTTCAGAGGGAAAAAAAAGAAAAAAAAGATATGTATTACATGTGCTGGCTCAGCCATAAAAAATTTTCACTCACTCAAGTGAGTTCCCTCCAGGTGTCCCTCTCCAAAAATACCTCTTCTACTCTTTGTGGACTTTTCTAAGTATCTTGGTAAAACAGCAGCAAATTTAAGAACAGCATTAGAAAGGGCAGTCCCATACTGTTAAGCATCTGATGCTTATTTTCCATGAGTCCAGCAGGGGTCATATGAGGGACAGTGACTTTTTTTACGCTTTTTTTCCCCCTCCATTCCCTCACTTCTCCAGGGGCCGCACAGCCACCGAGGGACAAGGTGGGAGTTGGAACAGCTCCAAGGAGCCCGGCTCGTTCCCTGGGCTGCCGTCCATGATGCAGAGTGATAAAAATTGCACTGGCCCTTCAGCAGCGTCCAAGCCTCGCTGCGGTTTGGCTCCAGTGTTGCCGGCCCAGGACCTCGAGGGGCATGCAATACCACACAACCATGCCGCTCTAGCAAAGTACCTTGTCTCCTGTTCCACCTGCGTGATATTTCCCCCACAGTGAAATACAACAGGGCTGAGCTCGATGCCTTACCCACTGGGAACTCCTGACTATGGAACGCTTGATGTCGTTATCCTAACACTGTGTGCCAATTTGATAATCAAAAAGCCTTCCCAAAAGTATTTAAGTAGGTCAGTCTCTTACCTAGGTGACATATTTCCTTCGCTTTACTACAGAGCAGTCATTAAGCTGCACTCTCAAGCAGTGTTTCACCATCTGAGTGATTTGCCTGCATTAAGCTAACGAAGACATGCGTGGCTGTTAACTGTTCATCTCCGGCCTTCTACCTCACCGGTCTGGCCTTGCAAGCGCAAGCTGGTACGCAGCCTCAACTCCCACTGACCACCTGAGCCGAGGATCTCCAGCATCTTTCAAGAGCCACACGGCGCAAATCACCCACAGGCCCCCTGCATAACCCTTCTCCTTTGTTGCCTACATCTTCTGGCCCCTCCATCCTTAAAATGAGAGCTCTGCAGGGAAGCGAAAGTTTTCTGTTATACCTTGACGCGTTCACGATGCACGCGTATATTTGCATAACCTCTATTTTGCTGCATTCTCCCAGCAGCCTACAGTCCATCAAAGTTAGTTAAAAAAAATGAAGTTCCTCTCTACAGTCCAGGTGGTTGACGTTGGGTTGAATTCCCTTTCCCAGATCTTAGGATTTAATCGTCAAATTTCGATGGAAGGTCTACCCCCATAGAACTTTATTCCCAAACACCAAGGATTAAGTTTGCTTTGAAACATTTATTTTATTTTTCATTTATTTTTCTAATATTTTGGTAGAATTTCTTTTAATTCTGATAATCACTTGGTTCAATTTTCTGCACTGTATCTATTTTCTTTTGTTCCCATCACCCAGGCAATTGTTTAATGGTTAGCTATAAATCTGCATTTGTTTGATCTCCAGTGTCTTTCTGCCTAAAGAATTAATGGTGCTTTTGATAATATATATTCTAAAGGTATATTGTTTTGAACAACCCTTTTGACCTACTTGTTTCCATAATGTTTGAGGTTTCTGTCAATGTGATTTCTCTTTATCATTTTCCTTCCTTCCCTTTACCAGAGGCTGATTTTCTTCTAACAACCTATTTCAGTTCAGTTCAGTTCAGTAAAACTCCCTTTATTTTTTAATTTTCTTAGGTTATTGAAGTCCCCAGATTCCAAAAACATTAATTTTACATTTTGCCAAACAGGAGGACGTTCAGTAGATTCAAATAGAACCAGACTGAATAATCTTACCTATGTAATGTCCTTTTCCCTTCACTTTGAAAAATTCAGCTACTGTGGATGAAATTCTTGTTCCTGCGATTGGTTGAAAAGAAAATTAAAGTCAGTCTCATTTCATTAGATCTGAACTATAAAACTCTTTGTCACTTTTCAAAAAAATAAAAATTATTCAAATCTCAATATAAGTAACATGCAGACACTCCTGATCCATCTAGTAGGAATTTTATTTTACAAAGAACATAATCTTGCAAGTCAGGCTAAATAGAACACCCCTTTCACTTCCACTGAAAGCCAGTGAATCTATTAGGCACTAGGCTTACAGAGATGTTCTGGCACTTAGAAATAAAAACAGGTGCACAGTAAGATCTTAAAAAATGTACAGAAAGTGTTCCCACTGAAATAATTCATTCCAGCTCTTTTCAGTGTCAGAACCCATTACACACTAAATGAAACAAGCCAACAAAATAGGAACGTAATTTTGTTCTACAAAAAAAAAAAAAAAAAAATCCAAGAACTGAGATTTCTGTCCCATAGAAAAAGAAAAAGCTGCTTTGAGGGAGGTCTGAGCCATGCATTCCAAAGGACCTCAGAGTGTGGGGGAAAATTATTCATCTCTATAAACTGTGTCACATGTTCAGAGATGTGCTGAGTCCTGCACCATCGTTTCTGCTTCCTAACCATACTGAGTGCATGTGCTCACACAGCAGCAAAAGGCCTAATTTCACATCTACACGTACAATCCTTGCACAATAAAGAATGAGGGTTGTGACTGCTAATTTCAGTTTTTCAAAAAGAGATTATTTTGTTGAAAGGTCACAGTCAATATAACATGCTTTTAATAATTATACAGTACTACAAATACATCCAAAACGCAATGTTCAGATTCAGGTTATTACACTGAGTTTGAAGATTTGCTTTCCAGGTTACATCTCAGAGACGACTGCATTTGGCTTCAGGTGTAGCAGCATTTTCAAATTATTTTTCACAGAATATGAGAAATTTTCACTAAAGTCTAGCCAATATGGGATCCAACCCAAACTCACAACTGGTGCTTGCAGTATGAAGTGCTCCTTAGAATTAAAATATATTTGAAAGTTTGGTTATATACGGTGCCATCTATTATAGCCGGACAGACTATCAACAGTTATGTAATTATAAGCTATTAAAAATTATCATTTACCATATATAGAAAGGTTTCTGTGCAGACCACAGTAATTTTGTCTTGTAAAGAACGAACGTTTAGGAAATGACTGCAAACAAGACTGACAAGTGTAGACACAGGATGAGAACTCCTGAGCTATCTCCAGTTAATTTTGTAAATCACGGTGTAATTTACGCAGCAAGTTCAGGAAGTTGCTAAATGAGCACTCTGGGATCTGGCTGGAAATCTTTCCTCTAATATTATCTCAAATGCCTTTAACAAGAGGAAGCCTATCCTGCAGAGGCAGGTGTGCTGCCAGCAGCGACACCGGTCACGCAGCTCTCTGCTAAACCCCAGCCTGTGTCTGCGTGACTGTCGACGGTACAGAGGTGGCCCCATAGGACAGGGTCTAGTTTATTTCGTAAATTCTTGGTATCTACACTAATAAATAGAAACACTAGAATAAATAAAGAGAAAAGCAAGCATTTTTATGGCATAACACCACCACGTTTCTACAATTATTCTGAACATTTGTCACTCAGCTTTATGAGTTAAGGAGGGAAAAGTGCAGAAATTGCTATTGCAAACTGTCCTAGGGGGGAAACTGATTATAAATATTTGACAATTGATCCTTCTTAACAAGACAGTTTTATTCATATAAATTGTTGCAATTAGGTAGTCATTATCTCTCCTGCACTACTGATTAACAAGCTAAAACTGCTATAGTTAAGGCTATGAAGAATTGGACACTCCATGTTCAGATGGACTTTTACTATCTCTTTATAACTGATTGAGAATGTTTTCTGATTTATAGTAAAAAAAAAAATTTAAACTGCTTGACAAATATTTCATTGTCCTCATACAGCTCACTGCTGCCACTTGTTTGGAAAAATGAAAGGTAAGTTGAAAAATGCACCTTTTCCATTTTCATCTCTAATTGAATTCTCTCTCTTGACCCCCTTATTCCCCATGGCTGTATTTCAGGTTTTGATGATAAGAAAAAGAATTTTGTATTTGGATAATACAATTTTCTCACTTGCCTTCAGCGACCTTCAGCTCAATTTCCTCTCCCCAGAGACACTGTATATTATAGAATTGAATCAAATTCCTTATTCATAGAAAAAAAGTTCCAATTTAATCTGAATATTCAGCATTTTACACTGGTCAGGGTGATGGATGGCAAATTGAAATGCTTTTGGTTCAGGTAATCAAATGGTAGAATTCAGACTTGTATTGAAAAAAATAATGAAGTCTATTCAATATTCTTGTGCAAAAAACGCACATTACATGGTAGAACCAGGGCTTTTTCTTATTACCTAACCAATAACATCTCCATTGCGAAAAGTATAGTAAAACATTAAGAATTTATGTAGGTTAGAACATGTGAAAAGCGGCCACTGTTGAGGGAAAACACGGGCATCTTCCGAAGAGTGCTCAAACGAACGAGTACAAAACGGGGAAAAACAGATCTGTTCCCAGTATTTACCTGCAACATCCAATGCTGGCTTACTGAAGCCTTTTAATAAGTTTTTAAATGCCTTTAGAGAAAGCAACACAGCCTTCTTAACCACTTCAAGTCATCTGATATATACTAAACTACTGTAATGCTTCATTTCCATCCCCAAACGTTTTTGTCAGGTAACATTATCAGGTATCTCATTATTCCCAAAGGACTACCGGTTTCATTTTGGAAAAGGGTCTTGCTGCTTTTGAAGCTCAACCTCAAAACAACAATTGCTTTGAACAACTTTGGCTTGCCACCACCCTACTGAGGCAGCATGCTTGGACACCTGGACACGATGTCTCCAGGAAAACAAGAGGATAACGATGCTGCATAAATATGGTTTGGTTTAAAACCTCCATCAACAGTTCCTTTCTTCCCTTCTAGAGATGCATGGAATTACTCCGTTTGTTTATTAAATATTGTATGAAAGTTATTTCTTTTCTATTTATTTGGAGTATTTAAGCCACAAGGAATGCTTAACTGTAGGCACCACCAGCGTTTAATTAAAACTGCAACGCAGCAACCTCTATGTTAAGGCACTGTGTTAAAAACGTGGTCCCAAGCTGCCTTTACTGATTGTACTTAACATGCGTGGAAGGGGAAGCCTCCTCCATCTCTACGCTCTCACCTCACACGTACCCACGGGGTGCAGAGCTTCCCCCCAGCCCGGGCTGACTGGGGGGAGCTCCCCTTCAGAGTAACCTCCCCGAACCTGGCAGACCTGAGGTGGCCTTTGCAACTGGGGGGGGGGGGGAATATTTTTCCTTCCCAGCCATCACAAGCAGCTCAAAGGGACGGTGCTCAGACTCAGGCTTCCTACGTGGAAACACAGAGCTCTGCTTGATGCCGGGCGTGCTGGCGGGGCATTAATTTTCTGTAAGTAACCTGTCGATGGGAGTTCACCTTAACAGCTTGTGCAGTTTCACCACCACAGAGTAAAGATGGGGTGTGAGGCATGTGGAAAAAGCACGTACAGAAGCACTCTTAAGAACAAGGTAAGTGCTCAGACTATCAAGGAAAAAGGCTACATTAGAAACATTTACAAGTAGAAGCTCTTTAATATAGAACTAACTCTCCCAAATTAAGAAGCATTGGCAGGAAATGGTGAATGCTAGCAAGAACAGCAACTTGTGATCCACCAGCAGTCATGGGAGAAGAGCTGAACCTCGGGAGACACACCAATATATTGATTGCAGTCAAGCAGCTGATTAAAAAAAAAAAAAATACTGCATTTTTCCAACCGAGCCCTGCAGGAGCAATTTAGGAACCAAACATTACATGGTATCACTGTATTGGTGTAAGGGCAGCTCTGCAATGGACACCACTAACAGGTACACTGATGAGTAAGAAAATAAAGCCCAAGTACTGCTCCCTGGTCCCTCACCCCTTCAGGGCTAGCAGGAATAGAAGTCATTAAAGTGCATTATTTTATAGGTTAAAGTGAACATATACCAAATAGATACACAAAGGAATAAAACGTGGGGTGTTTTACATAATGAGTGTTGTGGTTTAGGCCTGATTGGCAGCCAACCACAATGCAGCAGCTCTCTCTCCCTTCCCCTCCGGCAATGAGAAGGGACAGAGAGCCAGGCTTGGGGTTCAAGATAGGACTGGGATGGGGAAAAATCCCCCTTTATGGTCACGAGCAAAAGGCAGACTCGTTAGGGGAAAAAAAAAAAAGAACATACATTTATTACAGACACTAACAACACATAACAGAGTAGGACAGTGAGAAGCATTGCCACATCTTGAGAACACCTTCCCCCCACCCCTCCCTCCTTCCCGGGCTCAGCTCTGCTCCCGATATCTCTACCTCCTCCCCCAGGGGCGCAGGGGCAGGGAATGGGGGGTGCAGGCAGCGCTGCCACTTTCTCCATCTTCGGTGAGGGGAGTGTCCAAAACTTGTTCCCCCTGCTCCATCATGGTCCCCCTCTCACAGGAGACAGTCCTCCACAAACTTTCTCCGACATGAATCCCTCCCACAGGCCGCAGCGTTCCCCACACTGCTCCGTCATGGGTCACTAACTTCCTCCGACTGGATTCCCTCCCACGGCTGCAGCCCTTCCCGAGCTGCTCCGGCGTGGGACTCCCCCGCATGCTGCAATCCTCCCAGCACTGAATTACAGCAGTGGGGCTGCCTTTTCCCATGAGACCCCGGCCTTCTTCGGGCACAGAGCCTTGATCATCCGAGCAGGAACAACAGGCTGTAAATCAATGTCTGCTCCACCGCAGATCTCCATGGGTGGCAGGGGGGGCCGCCCTGCCGTCTCCCCACAGGATACAGGGGGGTCTCTGCTCCGGCACACCTCCCCCCTCCTTTCTTCCTCCGTTCCTCCACTGACCTTGGTGTTCATGCAGCTGCAGCGACTCCTCCTCACCAGTCCCACTGCTCCTCACCACGTCCCTTCTTAAATACGTTATCGCAGAGGCGCAGCCGATTGGCTCAATTTCGCAAACAGAAGTGGAGCTGACGTGGAGCTGGGGGAGCTTCGAGAAGCTTCTCCCAGGGGGCCGCCCCGATAGGCCCCTCCCCTGACACCAAAAAACTCCACCACTCACTCAACCCAGGACAATGAGAAACACAAAAATGAACTTAAGATGTCATTGAACACAATTTAAGCATGTGATTTTGAAGTAATTCAAGTAGAAGCTTGCACTCTATCCTGGATAGGATGGGAAATAAGCACATACTTCCGAGTAGGTTAATAGCTGCACTTTAAGGTCCAGAACGCTAAGGACATTGGCTGCATGCTCTTACTTCTGTTGACATTTCTTTGGAACTCCTTTTGTGAACACCTCTGCGGGATTATAAAAAGTGCAACGCACCCACGTGACAGAAATTCGTACAACATCGCACAAAAGGAAATTAGAAAAACGTTTTAAATTGTGGAAAAGTTGCATTCAGATATCGATCCTTCCAGAAGGGTTCTTAGCACCCTTCCTTGTAAAAGGGCTAAGTATGGAGTCAGGACAGCAAGGCTACGTGAGGAGGCACTTAAAAGTCCGGAAAGACCAGCATTAAAATACTAATGCCATCTGGTTTCATGTTACCATGGGGACTATTCCCAAAGGCCGTATTAGCATGTGGACACTAAGCCCCACAGGGGAACTTTCACAACCAAGGGATACCAACAGGCTCTCCTGGAGGGCGGTTCGGATCAGGGACCCAGCTCAAGCCCAGGGAAGTCTGAATCACCCAGATAACTGTAACCCCCGGCGAACGCTCCCCATACATTCAAATTATATTCCTTAGCCTCAATTATTTTCCCCAGGATCACGTGAGACACTATGCAAGCTTTGTCTTCTTTCGGCTTCCACTTTTCTCATTTCCATAACAGTCCAGTATTGCATCTGTATCCTGGCAGTTGCTGACTGCTGTCACATTCATTTCTCTTTTCAGCTGATAATATTAAAAGCTAAACATTAATCACAGGGACTATTTCTCTAACCTTGTCTCTGGGACAGAATATTTAGTTGGGAACAGTATAGTCCATCACAGCTGCAGTCTATTTGATAAGTGCTTCTGAAAAGCCAGACTACTTGTCTGCTGGGTACGCTGTGTCACTGACAACTGCGGGACTTGGGGGCTCTTAAAAGGAGCAACTTGGCTCACGGTAGCCATTTGGTAGTAGGCCTCAAGCGCCTTCTTCAGAAAGAGGGACAAACATCGCTGTGACAGTGGGCAAAACGCTCTGGCCCAGCATTCAAAGGGCTTTTGTTCTTCCTCTGTGCGCTAACCCCGGCGAACGCAGAGGGGAGCAGAGGCTCCCACGTTAGCTGGCACACCACGCGTTCGCTGCGGATACGCCGTGTCTTGTTCACGGTGAATGTAAGCCAGCTTGGGTAGCAATTTAATAAAGCAGCTGAAGCTAATGCCATTTTTTGGCACCACATAAGAGAGTTTGTTGTAGGGTCGCACATATGCACATAAGGGGTCATGTACCAGCAAATTTTCAGGAAATAGTAGACATGCACATTATTAGACTGAATTGCTGTCTGGCTCCAATATCTAAAATATGTAACCAACTCTTAACCCTAAGTCTCAGGGCTCTGATGCATTTAAATCACAAAAACGTGTAGGGTTTTTTGTGTCTTTAAGTTTCTAGAGTAGGAAAAGAATAACAAGAACAAGAATGCAGCACCAGATCCTACACAGAAATACCTGAAGAGCAATATTGCTGGAATTCGTGTTGCTACTGACACAATATTTAGATTAACAAACACTTCTCAAAAATCTGAGATTGCTTCTAAAATCTTGATTTTAAATAAATTCATCTGCTGCTCTTACACTTTTTTCAATGAGAATTGTTGAGCCGTTAATTTTCTATCTCCAAGACTTTCTTTGCAACCACAAGGGCTCTTTTTAACTTACACATTTAATGGAAGATAGTATTATTTCATAATCATGGGACTCTGGAGCGGAGCTTTGCAAGAAAAACACTAAATCTTACTCAACTTGTGATAAAATTATTGGTGTTGGCAACCTTGCAGACACATGCCTAGAGCTGCACAGTGTTTTCCTCCTCTAACTACTGTAACTAAAAGGACTTTAATGAGAGCAAAAGAATGTGGCTCTGTCTGCCCAAAATCTTTTGGAATTTTCACTTTTCGCTAATGAAAATGAAAATAAATACTTTTCTTTTTTTTTTTTTCCTGTAAGCTTTTATGGACATCTGAACTGACTTTTGTAATGAAGAAGGATTAAGCAGACTCAGGGAAATGATAAATGTGGTTTGTATTAGTGTACTAATTAGCTCATAAATTTAGAAATAGTTAATCTTTTAGTTTTGCTGAATTAAAATAGCTGTCAAATTGCAGATCAGGTCTTGGAACTGGAGTAACGCAATGGTGAATTAAAACCCCCTGAGCATAGGTGTCTGATGCCATTCATTGGAAATTTTGCTACTGGCTTTGAAGAGCATGAAGTGAATTTAACCAAAGTTGTAAAATATTACTCGAGCAGCCAGATACTTAACAGATAATAATGAAAAAATGTGATTTATTAGGTGTGTGCTTCTCATTGTGTTGTAATCCAACGATTAACTACGTTAATTATTTTTAGCTCGGTGAACTAATTAGAGCACTAGTAGCTAGCATAAACCTGTGTTTTACTGCAGTTTCCATTTAATGTATCTATGTATGTACACAGATATTCAAAGACCGTGCGCTCAAAATACACATATCATTTCAGAAACTGCTTGCCAAGTGATAAAAATATACTTGCCCATTACATGATTCACACTTCTTCAGAACTGCCAAAGCAGAAAAAGAGCACAGGCACTATCTGTTTTACACTGCCTTCTCGATAATCTAATGAAGACTGCTCTGATGAAACACTGAGAAACGTGTGTTCTATCCCAAAACAACAAGTTAGGGTCTCGGTTCCTCAGAATGGGTCCTAGCCAGGTGGTGGAGATGCAGGAGCCAAGCACCCCGGCACGGTTTATGGTATGGTAGCAGACAAGTAGCTGGCAGACACCGCAGGCTGCTGAATACAATAGCTCAGAGTCTCCTCTCCCTTTTAATGGTTGCACCAGGACAAGGCTAGAAGAGAACTGGGCTCAGTAACACTCAACGTGGAGAATGAATAGACTCCCATTCTCACACCCCATAAACATCCTCATGCACACCTTGTTAAACACCACCCTAGAGACTGCATTTCAAGCAGTTTTCCATAAACTCCATGTGACCTGGATACAATGCTAGATAAAACCATCGGATAAAATACAGAACTAGAAATATGTGAACCTGGGATTAGAAGATCAGGGTGACTTAATGAGGAACCAGCCTTCACATCTGGACTGCTGTAAACATTGCCCAGTCCAAGGTCCCTGTGGAAAAAAACCCAACACACTGATAGTAATTCAGTAAAATGTACAAGAAATGTTCATTGCTAGCCCTGCAGTGATATCCAGTAGGAATTAATTTAAAACCATGATGGCAAACAACTGCTGAACCAATCTTCTTCTTTGGCTTGTAATGCACCTGCTCTTATACTCTCTTTTTTTTCCTTGCAGAAATTTAAACATTTCCACATTAAACAAACTGCTCGAGTCCAGAGATAGCCAGCAACAAGACCTTAGTCTACCTACACGGTATGATAAGGAAGAAATAAAATGTGTCTGCAAGTACAGAGTGTTTAAATGCCTGCACTCATGACCGAAGCTGGCAAGTTACAAAGCAATTTGTAATGATGCCCCTGACTTGCTCTTAAGGAGTTGTGCATCAGCAAGCTGTTAACCAGATCCTATATTATTGCAGTGTTCCACCCCAAAGTGGTAGGAGACAGAGAAAATTCAAGCCTCAAGTTTCACTATCGGGCTCTTCTGAGAGCATTGCTGGCTGCCGAACACGTGCACTAAGTCAGCATTGCTGACATTTTTTTGTCTGCATATGATGCTACTTCTGGAGGCCATATGACCTGCAGTTCACCATCCTAACTCTGTTTTTGGTAAGCTGCTGCAAGAAAGGGTGAAGTGACATGGTTAGCCACTACAGGTGCATAGTTTAAGGGATTCCCAGTTATTACCATTTTCTTAGCCTTTCCCTTCAGTTTGAGGCTGCGGAAGGCACCCGAAGTCCTCTCCATTGCCTCCTGAAACAAGCACTAGCAATTTCTGAGTGACAGAAAACTAGATTTTATCTTTCACTAAGTGGAAAGCAACATTATACTCTCCTGATGTCTGTCTGACTGCGCACCACAAGCACGTTTACAAGGAATATCACCTTGGCAGCGCAACCTCAATGAGCCCTTCTGGCCAAAATTTTCAATTAAGGCAACTTAAATAGAAGTGACCAGCTTGACAGAGATATTCAGCACACTCGCTTCCAACTAAGTTAGCACATGAGGAAATCAGGACACGGTTATTTTAGTGCTTATATATAGGTTAAAACCAAACTTCAGATGCCAAGGTTTGAAATTTGTGAAATGTGTCAGCAAAAGCATTATAAGAAGCCTGATCAAAATGCAATATTCTCCTTAAAGCAACATCCTAAGGAGGTACAGTAGTTCTCTTCCCTATATGACAGGCATATGAAAAGCTCTAGAGGAAGGGCTCATAAAGATCCCGCAGTGAACTGGATTTTGATCTCAAGCACGTGTTCCACCTCAACCTCACTCTCTGTGGAATGATGACGACTCTACTTCTGAGACTAGATGAGCCTGTATCTAACACTGCCCTGTGAAACCAGGTAAATGTAATACTGCAAACATTTATCCTACTTAACTTTAGACTTTTAAAATGGGGTTGTGTATCCCTGATACCACTCGGGAATCTTATTAATTAGTGGAGAGGAACAGATACTTTTAAGTCATGATACATCCGACCCAGGTCAGACATCTACCTCTGGGTAACATTAATCAGGCCTTAGAAATGCTGCTTTACTCTCACCAAGTACAGAGGGACTGGAGACACCTCCTTCATACCTATACATCTAAGTTGTACGTACCCAAGGTTATCAGGGAAGAAGCCCAGCCCTTGTTGCAAAATGCTGATTTGGAGCATGAACATTCCCAATGAACACCACTGCCCTGTGTCACCGTAAGAGTGACAAATAAAGGCAAAGAAGGACTTTGGTATTTAGCCACTAGCGTATGTTGGCAGTACTGCTAATAACATCTCATGTGACAAGACCAGTAAAACAAGGTCAGAAACGAGCTGTAGGCAACAGAGCCAACAAGAACTGGAAGCCAGTGTGGCTCTTCAGTCTGTGCACCGGGGTTAGTGCCTCCACGCACCACACGGAGGGAGGTACGGTGCTACGTGGATGTACTCGTGTGGGTATATTAACTCCACTGCACCCGAATAGTGAGGCCCAAGCACTCCTATTACTAACTGGTACGAATTACACCAATACACTACTTTCTTGCACTTGTTAAACAGATCCCTGCCTTACCTAGTGTAGTCTGCATGCCTTACAATGCTAAGTGCGACCCCACCACTTTAACTTTCAGGTATCAGTTGCATATTGCACGCTTTTATATTTAATAATTATTCAATAGACTTTTAAAGGATCCCGTTATTAAACCAGACAGATACACTTCACAAATTGTAACACACTAGAACAGATTTCTCTTTTGATTTCTGTTTTCCATTCATAGAAAGCAACACAAGAAAGGTACATCTGCTGTACTTATCATGCCAACAAGAAAATGGAAATAGCAGTCAAAAAGGAATTTCGAACTCTTCCACCAGTTCCAATTCTTGCTGGAAAATCTGAACAAAAAGGTTCAATTTGGGTATTTTTTCCACTTTTGGCCAAGTTTGGGATCCAGTATCTCTACAAACACACATCCCTAGCAGTAGATACACTGCTGAGTAGACCTGATCCATCCCGAGACATGTGCAAAATATCCCTGTCAACTGCACGTATCATTAGGACCTGGTGATGATGCCCCAAAGCACATTCTGTTTAACAGAAGACACACGGAATTGATTCCTCTCATACCAACGTTAATCATGACAAACTCTAATAAAGTCAGAATTAGAAGTGCTTTGAATATACACTAGCATACACGAGAGAATACTGCGACTGTGTGCATTTCTGAGTTTTTTTTTTTTCTTTTTTCTTATTTCTCTTGCTCCTCTGGGAGATCTCATTGCCAGTTTCAACAAAGGGCATCATCTCTATGCAGATGATATCCAACTCTACAACTCTGTCAACTCACTCTCTGATCCCCTCCTTGCCACCTGTCTTCAACATGTCAATCAACAGATGGCTACACCATCACTAAGGAATGCTTCAAAGGCATTCAAAATGTTTTAAAAGTCCTCTTTGTTCCATGTCTGTGGCTCTGCTATCAGTCTTCTTAATTCAGCCCTTCAGTTCTCGGCCAAAAATCTTACTGCTATCCATAACACTGGGTTTTTGTTTTATTTTCCCCCGCATTAAAGCTACTTCTATAATATTTACAGATTTATCCAGACTTTGACATCTGCTTCCTCTGTGTTATGTTGAATGCTTTACTCCAGTTTAAAATACTGCCATTTTGTCCACTTTGGTTTCTAAAAACATACTTTCTAAGCTTCACCAACCAATGGTCAGGAAACAAGAGTACTACTCTGCTTCGAAAAGTTGAGACTCCCTCAAGAACTTTCAATACTCTACGGGTTTTCTTGAATGCAGAATCTCATTTTAAGGCTTGTGAAAATATAGTTGTGTCTACAGCAGCACGTCAGAGCCCTCTGATGTACTTACAAGAGTAACACTGGTTTGTGCCAGATGATAATACTTCATCAAAACATAACTGTGCTGAACTGCACCACACCTCTCATGTCATCTAGCCGTTTGCTTCTCCTCAGCCCTTTCTCTTCTCAGTGTTTACTCTCCAAGCCCCCAGAAATGAGAAAGCAAGCCCATTCCTTCACTGACCCTATTTTAATCTTGTTGGCATTTCCAGGTCTTCCCTTCAAACCACTGTGACATGCAAACGGTATAATCTGTGGTACAGCCTCAGTTTCACGGTAGCAACATTCCAAGGATTTGTGATAACAACCCGTCATAAATCTGGAGTGCCCCTCACAGCGAAGGAAGGGGATGAATGTAAAACAAATGAAAGTGAGGTTCAGCCATGTGAGGAAAAATACAGTATAGTGGAAAAGAATTATACGGGGCAAGGCTCAGCTAACAGCCCTGGGACAAGCGCACCTAGGGAGCCTCAGAGAGTGCCTGTGAAGGCTGGCAGCCCAAGCTCCCAGTGCGTGTTACTCAAAAAAAAAAAAGGGGCTGGAAACAGACTGGCACCCACTGTTCCCTTCATAAGGGGGGGTATTTGCTACTGCCTCCATTTCCCCTTCCCTCCTACCACTTGTAATCCCTTAACGCAAGTGGCAACGACACCAGTTGCTCGCGCAGAAGCGGCGTTTTGCGCTCCCTTTCAGCAGCCGGACCCAGCAAAGGTGAGCCCACGTCCTTTGCCAGCTCCCCTCAGGCCACCCGGCAGCCGCGGGCCGGGCACCGAGGCCCCGCCACACCCAACCTGTGAACGCGGCACACGCCACGGAACCGGGGAGCCCCTTGGGGGGCCGCGGCAACCCCCCCCCCCCCCCACTCCCCCCTCAGCAGCCCGACCCGCAGAGCACCGGCCCGGTTCCCCCTCAGATTTTTGGGGGGGGTGCGCCCAAACGACCGCCCCGAGCGGCGCGGCGCAAAGGCTGATGGGAAACGGGAGTTGAGGGAGGGAAAACCCGCCCGAAACCTCCGCTGTGACGCCCGCTCCCCCCCCCCCCCCCCCCCCGGTCTTCCCGTTACCATAGGGACCGCCCGGCGCGTCTCCGGCGGGGAGGAAGAGGCGAGCTCTCGCGATACTGCCGGCGGGCGGGGCGGAAGTGAGGCGCGGATTTGAAGGCAGCGGCGGGAGGGGCGGGGCGGCGCGGCGGCGCGCGGGTGAGTGGTTGCGGCCGTTGTCCGTTTGCGGCGCGCTCCGCTCGCGCCCTCCCTGGGGCCGTTCGCCCGGCGCGAAGCCGCGTCGCCTCAGAGCGGCTGTGGGGGGGGGCGGTTGTCCCTCCGCTCCCGGGGCGGTTGTCCCTCCGCTCCCGGGGCGGTTGTCCCTCCGCTCCCGGGGCGGTTGTCCCTCCGCTCCCGGGGCGGTTGTCCCTCCGCTCCCGGGGCGGTTGTCCCTCCGCTCCCGGGGCGGTACTGCTGCCCCCCCCCCCCCCCCCCCCCCCCCCCCCCCGGAGCGGCGGCGGTCGCTGCGACGCCCTGTTCGGTGCCCGCCATTTTTTAAACGGCCATGGCGGCCAGCTGGGCCCCCGGGGGGAATGGGCGGCACCGCTCTCCTCCTAACCCGGGCACAGGCCGCCTGAGGCCTGCGGGCGTTGGTGTGGAAAACGAGCGAGGCAGCGTGACTGAACAGCTTAGCTGTTAAGTTATTAAACATAAAGGGTTGGAAAGCTTAACCGGTGCGGTACTAGGAGGTTTATGGTTCTGCTGTGGGATGAAGGCTGGGCTTTGATTTTAATAATACGTTAATTTGCCAGGTGTTGCTTGTTTCCAAATTCAAGTGCTTATTTTAAGGCTTCTCCAGCGAAGTATTGGCATATCTTTGCTGCCTTCTACATACGGATCAAATATTGATAAAGGCTTAAAAAAAAAAAAAAATGGGAGGAAGCTTCAGGTTTAGATAAACTGTACCAGATCAGCAAGTAATTTGATTGCGGAGGTAACAACAGTACTTTGTGCGTTGTTCTCATTATTTAGGTTCATTCCTCTGGCTTTCTAAAAAAAAAAAAATATATATTTTCTTTGTTTCAGGTGAGGAACTGAACCTGAAATCATACCATCCTAATTCCTGAGTCACGCTGGGTTTCACATTGGCTTTAAAAAAACCTCTAGAAGTGAATGTCAAATAGATCAATTCTTAAAGTATCAAATGACTCTGTGATACCAAGTGGACAGGCAAATCAAAGAGTGAGGGAAGATCTGTGGGATTTCATCTGGGCATCACTCATATGGGAATGCATCCTGGGCTGCAATATGCAGTGCAAGATTTTTAAATGAGAAGCACAGACTTCTGAATGAACATTGAGCCTTTAGTCTTAGCTCTAAATACCCTGACTGAAAGGCTTGCTTCTTAAATCTTAGTTGTACTATCACCATGGCTTTGCATAAACTGCTTAGACATTTTGTTCTTAGCAGGTTTGATTATAAGTATTTTATTTGTCATAATATATGTGGGTTTTAACACATGTTCTCAGAGAACGTTTGTTAGATAGTTCTTTGAGAAAGTCTGAGTTCAGTTGCTTTCTCTCCAGTCTCCATCATTTACACAGTGTGCTTTAAAAAGAACTTATCCTCAGGGTTTGACTCTGATGAATGGCTTACACCTCACAAAATGTTGTAGTCATGTGTTAGCCTGTATCTCACAGCACCTATTGGTATCTTGAGGGTATAAATATCAGCAGTTTGTTAAAATTGTAACATTAAATAATAGTGGTTTTCTTACCAGGAGCCCTGGAGTCTGTGAAACACTGAAAGTCAAGTGAAACAAGTAGATGATTGTCAAACCTTTATTTTGAATCTGATCCAACAAAAAGGGAAATCTGTAGAAAATGTCACCTGGGAAAGTTTTGCAACCTGTACTGAAAATGAAAGTGGATGAACTCTTTTTGTGCTGGTTGAGTCAGCCTGGAACTCAGCTGACACTAAAGGACTGTTTGAGAAGAATCAAGAATGAGGAGAAAACAGAGATTGGTAACGGACATTCAGGAAATGGTAAAAATGAGAGGTTTGCTAATAAAAATTCCAATTCCACGCAATGCATATTAGCAGATACCAGACTGCCTTTGATGTCTTTAAGTCCTCTTCAACTTTCTACTACTCTTCCATTGGCAACTCCTGCCAGCCAAAGGAACATTTCTAATGTTAGAGCAACACGTCGATCCTCAGGAACCAGAGTAGTAAGTTTGTTTCTTACTTATTAGACCTATTTGTTTGAATGGAAATTAATTCTGTGTTTATGGTACTGGCAAATTGTGCAAGTAATTAGCTTCCCCGAAGTAGAGTGAAGCAGCAGCACTGAACATAAAATGTCAATGTTTGTGTGCTGTTAGCATTCATGGCTAGGTGGCCAGAACTTCCAAGAGTGTCTTGGCTCCTTGCAGCTCTCGCTTCTTATAAGCCGTGCATGCCTAATAGAATATGAAAGATGAATTGTTTTCTACTTCCAATAATTTTTCTGTCAAGAGCAATATTGCCCTTGTGCTTTAAAACTGCAGAGTGGAAAGCATCTTAAAAATTCCATCTCCAGTGCAGCTGATTAGATTTGGTATATCTACCCTGGTTTTGAGCTATAATGTCAAACATTGTACAATAGTGATGTGTTGCAACTAATTTACATGTTATGTTTGCTTCGGTGTGTGCAGCATAGATAAGGAAAAGTCAAAACAAGTGGTTCTTGTTTTCTGAAATAGTGCCTTGACTATGCAATAACGTCAGAGCTAGTATCTGTATTCTTGCATTTCTTAACAGGCATGAACAAACTAGAAGTTGTGGAAAAGCTAGGAATAGCCTTATAATAAAAGAGCAGTTTTCAATAATGTCCTTGTGTCCACTGAGCAGTGCCCAGCGTGGGGAAGGGCCCATATTTAGAGTCAGAGAATGAAAGATAAATAATTGTAAAAGCCAAAACCTGGATACATAGGTCAGATATCCATGGCTATCCAGGTGTCATTTGTAAAATACATCTCACAGTTTATATTGATAGAATGCTAGGTTTTTTTCTTTGAATGTGTTAGTTTACAAAAGTTATTTAGTTTACTAAATAGTTCACAGTTGCTGGATACCTATGGCTTAACTTACTTTTGCCAGAAGTAACCCAAACCAGGTGTTGATGCTTCAGATGCCACAGTTTCAGTAACAGGCCCTTCCACTATTAAATGCAATTTAATTGTGGATAAATCCCTATGGATAGTCCCTGTGTGTGTTCTCACTGTTATTTTTATAACATACAGCCTTGACTGCAAATATTCCTTTGTCTAATGATACCAGGCACTATTGTTAGTACAAGACTCAAATTTGGGTCCACTGAATCTGCATATTAACAAAGTAATTGTTTTGGTACTGCATGGTACGCTCAATGCTTCATTTCTAAGGAGGTCTTGATTTATAATAAACAATGCCCTCTTTGCAAGAATGACAGCCGGGTCCACAACCTGAGATTTTTTTTTTTTTTTTTTTCCAACTTGCAGTTCAGTTCAATCTAATTTCTAGAACTCTTTCATAAATTGGTGTTTAAAAAAAAAAAAAAAAAAAGATAGAAAACCATGTGCTTATGTGACAAAACTAAGCATTGCATATATGATCTGCCTTATACCAAAGGAATTGTTAAGAGACATGCCGTTTCTGCTATAGGACTACAAAATCATATCATTTAATAATACTGGTAAGATATAAGTGGTCATGACTCCCAATCATTCTAAATATTTTGGTCTCTAACTCAATGCACTGGCCAAACCTCCTGGTGTCCCAGGGAAGCCTGCTCAGGTTGGTGAGGGTGGGGAGGTTAGAGCTGAGGATGTTTAAGGGTATCGGTTACTACTTGTCTGTTATTGCTGTATATTGAATGTATGCACTTACCTTTTGACACCCAGGAGTAATAACATGACTGCTGTTTTACACTAAAACATATAATCTGGTGTTGTTTTGATTTCATAAATACTAATTTTCCAATCTAGCTTGACAACTTGACAGAGTATTTTCTCATAGAAAGCAAGATACACCACTTCTCCTGCTCGTGCATCCGTAAACTGCCTGCTGCAGTGTCAAAAGTAACACATCTGGTTTTGTGCACTTAATCATGGCTCACAAATTGAGAGACAATCGTTTTACCTACCTCATTCAAGTTTGAGGTTCTCGTCTCATTTCTATAAATGGAAGAAAATGTTAGAGAGCTTTTTTAAAAAGGAAGCTTGTACTGTAGGGCCAGTAATACAAATTTAAGTTCTAAATAGCAGTCCTAGAAAATGGTAAAAGTTAATGTGCTTAACTCTGTGTGCCTGAGGGTGATATTAGGAAAGGGCTTTTACATCCAGCCATAAAGAGCTGGAGAATTATTTCTTTTAGGACTACATAAGTCAATTTAGGCATCGTCTTATTAAACTTTTCCTTTTTTGTATCCAGGAATTATGATAATGCAGCATACAAGCAGTAAACTCATTTTGGCAGGCTACATTTTCAGTATCACTGAGCTGAATCACTGCATTTGATTATGGGTAAGGTTGCTGTACACCTTTTCCCGTTTCCTACAGTGTTCTGGCAACTTCTTTGAAGCACACCAAACAGTAAAACTGATAACAGAAAACTGCCATCCTCAGGTTATTACTAGATAGCAAGTATGAATGTGTAGGAAACCAGCTTTTCATACTGCAGGTTTCTGTACTTGTTAGAAAAACATGTTTTGCAGAATGGGGAGCGTTCTTGGAACACTGGTCTTGAAACTAATTAGATATTTAACACCTTAAACAGCAGTGCATGAGCAAAACAAATTGGTGTTCTGATGGTAACTCTTAAGCATCATTAAAAGTACTGTGGCTGACAGCTGTTGTATTCAAGGAGATCTTTTTTCAGAGGTTAGGTTGTACTTGAAGAGGGTTGTATTTTTATCTGAAATTCAGAAGTTGCCACATGTTTTTGGTGAAACACTAATGTCTCGTCAGAGGAGAATTTGTTGTCTTTCAAGGTCTGTCCAAAGTACGTTCTCAGATAATGAAAGAACCGGTGTGGTCTTTATGTTAAACAAAACTGAGGAGCTTCCAATGGGAGTTTGTTGGTCTGGATGGTGCTCTTAAAGCCAGGTTCTAGAATAACACTAATTCAGAATAAACTGATGGCTTAGTCCACATGCACATTGTCATATAACAGTGAGGTTGCTGTCTGACTTCATCCATTGTACAAACACTGTAATTGCAAAGTTCTGGTCATCTTTGTTATGTGATGTGAAGTGCTTGCTAGCACTTAGTATTCTGCAAGTAGGCTTGTGATTTGTATGTACTAAAAGTATTAAAATGACAGAAAATCAGAGGCACAGGAAAATCTCAGCACTTAAGTCGTGAATATTTTATGACTATATTGTTGTAAAGAAAGGAAATTCTAGAGCTGTAACTTTCAAACTTGAAGAATAGCTCTTGTAGCTTTCTTCTAACCCTTATCACTACTGTACATGCATTTAACAGTGTTTCTGGCACTCTAGATTATCTTAAACATATGGAGTATACACAGTTGTACACTGTTCATCACATTGTCAAAAATGCCAGGCCTCAAGGCTTTTAAAAGGTGCCGCAGGCAAGATGTTTAATCCTAACCAGCTGGTGTGCAAGGCATCTGGGGAAACAATTCACAGAATTCCCTATGGGCATTTTGGGGGGTGGTGGTGCAGAGAGAATGTGATATGATCTGAAGTACTTCAAAGTTATTTTCCGTTTCTCTGCAGGGTCAACCTTTGATACAAAGGTACTTCTTGTATTGCTTTCTGAATATCCCTTGCTTGATAAGCATACTGTTCCTGCTTGTTACCCCATTACAGTTATCAAAATTCATTGTCCTGTACTTCTGTAATTTGTAATTTTTTTACTACTTTACTGTATTGCTGCATATCTTTTTATCACCACTAACATCCTTCCCAAATTTTTGTTACCAGTTAGTTGACTCAAATGGAGTAGTATTACTACAATCCATTTTAGTCTAAAGGGAAACTAGAATGAAACCTTTTAACGTTGTCAGAAGTTTGAGCGTAGTAGCACTTGCTTCTTGAATCAAATAAGTTCTTCTGAGGAGTGGAGTCAAAGGGTAGCTAGGCTTATACCTCTATCCACTAGACCAATGGTGGACTATTTCTGTGTTCTACAGGTGTGCTGTAGGTTTTTGGGGGGACCACCTTTCGGTTGCCCAAACCAGGACAACCTTCTACTAGCAAGGAGAGAAATGATGTTCATAAAACATGAGAAAAGTAAGAAGAATGACAGTTTGAATCCTGACAGCTTTTCACAACTAGTTTTTAAGCTTTGGTGTTGGCCTTGACATTTCAAGTGCTTAGTCTTAGGTGCTGTCTGCATCTGAAATGCTACCAAATATGCCTTAATGCTAGAAGCAATGCTAACTACTAAGTCTGGGTTACGTAAGCTGTATTAGCATTTTCCGGCACACCAGCCTGCAATGTGCAGGACTGAGTGTGGTCTAGCACATACGCTCCCTAACTCGGTATTATGCAAAGCTAATGTTAATAGTGCCATGTCCCATCACTAAGTGGGGAGGATGGTGGACTTGGCTTCCAACTCAAGCCCGTGATTTAAAGGCAGACTGTAAATAACCTGGTATCAAACTGATGTACTTTTATGATGATAACAGGCCACTATGACAGATGTCAGCACTAACGTGTTCGCAGTAAGGCTCTTTCTATGGTGCCAGCAAAGGAAGGGCAGCCAGAAGCTCATATTAAGGTCTGGAAGAGTGCAGCTATAGGTGTTCCTAGAAAATCATTATTAGTTTCAAGTGTGGCGAAATAATAGTAGTCAGAACAAGCAGCACTGGTAGTATGTTGTGTTGTTATTCTTCAGCTTTGCTGTACTGAATATCTTCAAATAGAAGAATCGTTTTTCAGATTAGAGAACCAACTATTCATTTTATGTATAAATGAGAAACTGAAAGTTACTCTCCATTGTAGCTTTTTGGTTGTGCTCCTTATTCTAACTGCATCTTGTACCCTGGAATATAAACGTTACACTTTTCTTAGCAGTAGTAAAAATTCTGTTTACACGTTGTGCTTTGTTAGAAGAAATAGTGATCTTTTGTCCTCTTTCACCGTGGCAGTTGCACTTGAAAGAGAAGATATTTCTGTCCTACTGGAAACTCATAAATACTTTTTATATGTTGCATCCAGTCTTAAGAGGTTTAGGCATTTCTA